GCCACCAAGGCTTACCTCTGACAAGGGACTTCGAAATTCAGAGTCTATCGGCTATCGTACCCTCAATTTACCTATTCACTACAATTAAGCCCTAGCTTACCTAATTTTACAAAACTCAAGAGCCCAATTCATTGGCCTTTCGGCACCCACCCCACCACCTACGTAATGCCTTGGGCTCCAACTTAGTAATAATAATATAAAACATAAACCCTAAATCTATTAATGAGTATGTGTTACAACGTAGCCTTAACTTACCTATTCATTACATTATGGTCCTAGCTTACCTAAAATTACAAAACTCAAGAGCCCAATTCATTGGCCTTTCGGCACCCACCCCACCACCTACGTAATGCCTTGGGCTCCGACCTAATAATAATAATGCAAAACTTAATAATTAACCTACCTATCGATACACTTACAGCGTTTTAATTTACATTACAAGATTGTTCCTAGAATTACATTATCGCCCTTATCTACCTATGAAATTAAATTACTCTCAACCTTAGTAATAATAAATTAGAATGTGTAATGAAAATAAAATAACGCTCAAGTACTAACATATGTGTTTATGTATGTATTTGTGCGTGTGTAATACGCTGATGCGTGTAATGTGGGTGCAAGAAGAAATAGAAGCGATAAACTGACGCGCCTACCTATTCAACTACATTATTGTTGTATGCTTCCTATCTATCCTACCTACAATTAAAATTATGCCTATCTAACCTACCTATATAGCTACGTAATGTAATTGTGTGTATGTGTGTGTGCATGTGAGCATTCTTACTTAATGTTAAATTACAGAGAAAAACAGAGAAAAAAGAATAAAACGTATCCCAGCCAGGCGTATCTTCTTTGCCACTGAATGAACGAACGTAGCCTGACATCTTCCACGATGAATTCCTTTGGAAGCTTCAACCTGAATAAAATGGATGAAATGGAAAAATCTTATTTATTTGACTAATTTAAATGAAAATAGAAAAACGAGCCGCGATGAATTCCGCCTGAAAAGCCAGCCAACTGGCAAAGAAAGGAACCGCAAAGAAACCGTAAAACGAACCCCAGCCAGGCGTGCATTCTTTGCCACTTTATGAACGAACGTAGCGTGACATGACAACCATTCTGATCATCCACAATGAACTCCTCTGGAAGCTTAAACCTGAATGAATGAACCTGAATAAACTTAAATGAATGGAAAATCTTATTTAATTAAAATAAAAATAAAGAAACGCAAAAAAGCCGACCGGTCGGCAAAAAAAAGAACCTCAAAGAAAGGTATCTATATAGGATTTATGGTCTATATAGGATTTATGCTCTATATAACTCTATATAACTCTATATAACTCTATATAACTCTATATAACTCTATATAACTCTATATAACTCTATATAACTCTATATAACTCTATATAACTCTATATAACTCTATATAACTCTATATAACTCTATATAACTCTATATAACTCTATATAACTCTATATAACTCTATATAACTCTATATAACTCTATATAACTCTATATAACTCTATATAACTCTATATAACTCTATATAACTCTATATAACTCTATATAACTCTATATAACTCTATATAACTCTATATAACTCTATATAACTCTATATAACTCATATAACTCTATATAACTCTATATAACTCTATATAACTCTATATAACTCTATATAACTCTATATAACTCTATATAACTCTATATAACTCTATATAACTCTATATAACTCTATATAACTCTATATAACCATGCATACTACCACATTCAATCAATAAAAATCCCACTAAAACCAGGAACCACCGCGTACCTGCTGAATGTATGGTGTGAAACAAAACAAAAAAAACACAAAACAAAAATCACACCACCAAGTAGAGTAAAAGAATAGGAGTCCCTAACCTACCTATGTAACTAAATTACCTTATGCCCTAGCCTACCTATATAATAAATTAATTTTTACCTCACCTACCTATTTTTCATTAACTTAACTCAAAACTCATGAAGAAAGAGAAAAAGGAGTAAAACAGAACATAAAATACTACCACACAAACAAACATGGTGTATGTATGTATGTATGAGCAACCGATAAAGAACCCACCTAAAATTAAAAAAAATACCACCTACAAACATTCAAACCACCTACAAACACGCAAACTCTATATAACTCTATATAACACTATATAACTCTATATAACTCTATATAATATAATAAATAAAAATAAAAAAATTTAAAAATAAAAAAAATGAGATCAGGCAGACTGCTTCAAGCGAGGCAGAATGCCTGATCTGATTTTCATGTTGTCTCAGCTCCTCTATTTATACTCGTTTCAACCATACATTCTCATCATTTCAATCATTCGCATCAGTAAAAAACTTATTTAATGTATATACTGCACTATTATACAGTCTTAACCACAATGCTAACCGTGCTAAATTGAAGTCATCGAACGAACGCCTTCGAAACTTTCTGGTTGAATCTGCTATATTGCTTTTCATATAAACGTATAATCTTATTAATTATTTGTATACATGGATTCCAGTCACTTTATATATATATATATATATATATATATATATACATATATAAATAATAAAAATTCATTATAAAAGCAACAGTAATCGTTGCTATATATGTACGCACGCAGTTCAAATTTTTCGGGGAGAATTCCAAATAGTTTGAGACCACACCTTGCTTAACATCCGATTCCAAGCCGAGCCAAGCCAAGCTGAGCCAATATGCATAGATTTATAAGCGCTTTTATGTTAAAATTTTGCTCGCTATATTTATATATTTTATAAATTCATTATAAAAACAACAGTAATCGTTGCTATATACGTACGCACGCAGTTCAAATTTTTCGGGGAGAATTCCAAATAGTTTGAGACCACACCTTGCTTAACATCCGATTCCAAGCCGAGCCAAGCCAAGCTGAGCCAATATGCATAGATTTATAAGCGCTTTTATGTTAAAATTTTGCTCACTATATTTATATATTTTATAAATTCATTATAAAAACAACAGTAATCGTTGCTATATATGTACGCACGCAGTTCAAATTTTTCGGGGAGAATTCCAAATAGTTTGAGACCACACCTTGCTTAACATCCGATTCCAAGCCGAGCCAAGCCAAGCTGAGCCAATATGCATAGATTTATAAGCGCTTTTATGTTAAAATTTTTCTCGCTATATTTATATATTTTATAAATTCATTATAAAAACAACAGTAATCGTTGCTATATATGTACGCACGCAGTTCAAATTTTTCGGGGAGAATTCCAAATAGTTTGAGACCACACCTTGCTTAACATCCGATTCCAAGCCGAGCCAAGCCAAGCTGAGCCAATATGCATAGATTTATAAGCGCTTTTATGTTAAAATTTTGCTCGCTATATTTATATATTTTATAAATTCATTATAAAAACAACAGTAATCGTTGCTATATACGTACGCACGCAGTTCAAATTTTTCGGGGAGAATTCCAAATAGTTTGAGACCACACCTTGCTTCCGATTCAAAGCCGAACAAGCCAAACTGAGCCAATATGTGTAGATTTATAAGCGCTTTTATATTAAAATTTGGCTCGCTTTTTAAACGAATATCCCAATATAACAAATTCTTCATCCTATTTTCTATCCTATGCTTTTTAATCAGTCAGGTCACAAAAATCATTATCGATATCGCAATGAAATCAATTTGAAATTTTTTTTTAATTATTGATAAAATTTTTAAATTGTTGATAAAAATGACTAGTATATCCTAGTATAGTAAAACGTTTAAAATTTTCTGAGAGAATTCAAAATAAGAGAATTGAGACTACACCATAACACAATTGTACAATTTGAATGTGTAAATACAACATTATAAATGTATTATAACTACGTATATCTATCTATCTATCTATCTATCTATCTATCTATCTATCTATCTATCTATCTATCTATCTATCTATCTATCTATCTATCTATCTATCTATCTATCTATCTATCTATCTATCTATCTATCTATCTATCTATCTATCTATCTATCTATCTATCTATCTATCTATCTATCTATCTATCTATCTATCTATCTATCTATCTATCTATCTATCTATCTATCTATCTATCTATCTATCTATCTATCTATCTATCTATCTATCTATCTATCTATCTATCTATCTATCTATCTATCTATCTATCTATCTATCTATCTATTTCTTTATTTAGTTCTGCCTGCGTATGATATTTTGTCAAATTTATTTGATAGGAATTGAATAAAACCTTTATACCGGCTGATTAACTACCATGCAGTAAATTGTAACGTTTTTAATTTAAAAAGTTTTTAGCAGAAAATATTAGATTTTCTACAAATTTCGGCTGTCAGTTTACAAAAAATAATAAACATTTTTGTTCTTTAATATGTAATAAATTGTTTTATTCTAATTTATTTTATTCTAATTTATTTTATTCTGATTATATGGTTTTATTTAAGAAACACGCTAATACACAAGTCTATTTTTAAAAAATGCGCCAATTTTGCCATGAGCTGGATTAACTTTTAATCAAATCAATAATCTATTGTTTACATGTTTTTTAAAAAGTAAAAGCCAGACACGTGCGTGTGTTGTTAGGCAGTTATTAGGCAGTTACTAACTTATTTTGGTAAGAATTCATAAATAGAAGAAAAATTAGGAAAAATTGAAAGATCCGGATATTTAAATTTTTGAAGAATGTCGTTACCGCAAAAAAAATATTATCGCCAGAGAGCGCATTCCAACCCAATGGCCGATCATTCGTTTCAATAGTTAGTTAGTTTTATAATTTTTTGAGAGTTTTTTTTAAAGTTTTAAAGTTGAGATAAGTACAACACTAGTTTAAATAATTTTTCTCTAATTAATGAATTTAAATATTAATTATTTATTTATATTTATTATTTAGTCCTGCATGCCCTGACCAAGCCAACTGGTCCGAACTATACCCAGCATATTTCAACGATGAGGATGGTGTTTCACGAGATTGCCAAACTGGAAACATCGATGGTGACGATAGAAATAAATCAAAACGACAGGTTGAGATTGCTGATGTGGGCTGTGGTTATGGGGGACTCTTAAGTATGCATAATTATTTTTAGATTTACAACAATTCACTGATTAATTTATAATTAATTTATTCATTAATTAGCATAGTTTATTCAGTTTATCTATCTTCTATATTTTTGTATACTATATAATATACAAACATATATCAGAGGCATATGTTTTATTAATTATAATATTATAAAATCTCAGAAATATAGTGTAAGAAAATAATAATAATTTTATAATTTTAAATATTACTTTTTTTTATAATTTTTATGAACTTTCAGTTGAACTGTCGACACTCATGCCTGACAAACTAATCCTGGGTATGGAAATTAGGGTAAAAGTGTCTGATTATGTGATGGACAGAATTCGGGCCCTTCGTGAAAAAGGGCTGAGCTCTGGGGCCTACCAGAATATTGCTTGTATTAGGACTAATGCGATGAAGTACTTGCCTAATTATTTTAAGAAGGCTCAGGTAGGTGGTTGGATTTTTGTCTCTTGTTTGGTTGTATGTGTGTGTATATGTGTGCGTGTGTGCATGTGTGTGTAGACATGTGTGTTTGTGTAAATACTACAATGATTTAAAATGGTGGTCCAACAACAATGTTCATGAGAACAAAGACTAAGACAGACATAAAAAAATGCTTGCAAACATACATGCATACATAAACACTTCCACACACACACATACACACACACACATACATACATAAAAACAAAAACACGTACAGTTATCGGCAATGTTCTTTCTCTTCCCAGACCCGCACTTCAAAAAGACAAAACATAAATGGAGGATTGTTAGCCCAACACTTTTGGCAGAATATGCTTTCGTCCTTAGACCAGGGGTTCGTAAGAAATAATTATTTTTTAGTCAAATCAGCCAATCAAATTCACCAAACAATCAAATCCACCGACCAATCAGATTAACCAACCAATCAAATCTACCAATTAATCACAGGGCCTCATTTATACAGCTACAGATGTGAAGGACTTACATGACTGGATGGTAAAACACATAAGTAACCACCCACTTTTTCGAAGGCTCTCATTAGATGAAGAGGTTTGATTACTATTCCCTTGTAATTGATCAATAATTTATTTATATTCGATATTTAAGAAAATTATTCTTTTCGGTAAAATATGTGTATTCATTGTTGTTGTATGTTAATAGGTCAATGACCCAATCGGCAAGGTCATGGTCGAGTGCACTGAAGAGGGCAAGAAGGTCACGCGCAACCAGGGCGAGAAATATGTTGCTATTTTTAGAAAGATTGAAGACCTGTAATGGTTGGGGCACGAAATGATATGGATGATTGTTATAATTATTATTATTGTTAATAATTTATTTATTTATTTATTATTATTTTTAAAAAAGTGACCTAACAAATTATTTGAGAAATTTCCATTTTTGAATTTTATTCAAATAAAATAGATTATATAGATTTATATATAGTTATGTAGAGTTATTGATTATATATAGTTATATAGTGTTATATACGGTTATATAGATCTACATCTATATATAGTTATGTAGAGTTATTGATTATATATAGTTATATAGTGTTATATACGGTTATATAGATCTATATATAGTTATGTAGAGTTATAGATTATATATAGTTATATAGTGTTATATACGGTTATATAGATCTATATAGTTATGTAGTTATAGATTATATATAGTTTTATTGTGTTAAATAAGGTTGTTAATAAGTATATATATAATATATATATATATATATATGGATGTGTATATATAGTCATATAGATTTGTATAGGATTACATATTATTATATAGTGTTATATACGGTTATATGGATTTATATATAGTTATGTAGAGTTATTGATTATATAGTTATACGTACAGCCTGGAATAAATGGCATCTCCTTGCCTCTATATTGATGCGGCGTGACATCCCACTCCCCACTACCACTACGATCAAGACTTTATAAATCTGTGATACGTCCGGTGTTGTTATATGGTGCAGAAACATGGTCAATGACAACCAAACTGGAACAACAACTTCAACGAATCGACATGAAAATGCTCCGATGGATGAAACGAATTAATCTGAAGGACCACATCGAATCTACCGTAATCCTGCGTCGTGCTGGTTTAGATGATATAAAGGACGAATGCCGGCAACACCGTCAGCGGTGGTTTGGTCATGTCAAACGAAGTGGAAACAGTGCCATAACTTCTCTTGCAGATGTTGAAGTACTTGGCACACGTCCCTAAGGCCGTCCAAAGAAGTCCTGGTCGCAAACAATCGAGCAAGACATGAAAGATCTAAATTTAAATGAAATGAATACAACTGATCGTCTAATTCGGCGCAAAAAGTTGATGGCAAAGAAAATAACGTCCTACCTCGGGAAACTGGGTCTCTGGACGCTAAACGAAGATTGATTGATTCAAATAAAAACCAAAAACAAAAAAAAACAAAGTTTTTTAAACTAATGTTTAAAAGTAAAACTAAACTGAAACGAAACCAACATAATGAGATAATACGTAATAGTAATAATAATAATTTTAAAGTCTGATTGAGTATTAATTTGATTATAAATGAATATCATCATAAATAATAAGATAGATACACCATAAGATAGATACATCATAAGGTAGATACACATATGTATTTCAATAATATCATCGTATATCCTTTAAGATCATTTTGATAGGAAGTCAATTTTTACATTTTAACCATTACAAACAGGAAAAAATGTTCAATATATATATATATATATATATATAGATATATATATTATATATATAGATTGATAGATAGGTAGATGGAAGGATGGATTGATAGATAGATGGATAGATAGTTGAATGGATAGATAGATTGACAGAAAGATGAATTGACAGATAAATGGATGGATGGATAAAAAGGTATATATATATATATATACCTATATATATATATATATATATATATTTCAAAAATTCAACACTACTTTCAACATTGTTTTTAATTAAAAAGAAATATAAAAAAGTTGAACAATGTTGAAAGTAGTGTTGAATTTTTGAAATGTTACGTTAACAACCGTCTGTTACCAAAATATATATATATATAAATATATATATATATATATATATATATATATATATATATAGTGTATAAACTGGTTACAATCATATAATAGTATATATACTATAACATAATAATTATTGTAATAATAATAATTATTAATACCTTATACAAAAAAAACTTGTTTCTTACGCATAAGGTTTGAAAAAAGTATTTCAATACAATGTATCTATTTGATCCAAACAAATTTATACGTATTTACACTTAGAAACGTATGTAGATAAACATAGATACTAAAACAAATACATACATACATACGTGTACATACATACATACATACAAACAGACAGACATACAAATAAACATGTTTATACGGAAAAAAAAGATATAAGTTTATAATTTAGATGATAAATAACAAACATGGAAAGATGAAATTCAATGTGTTAATTAACCGAATACTGATTTATTATAGATGGATGGATAGATAGATAGATAGAGGGATAGATAGATAGACAGACAGATATATGGACAAATAGACAAAGAGAAAGAAAAGACATTTTTTTATAGAGATTGTCTAAAAAACCATGAATATCAATTGAAATGAATTTTAAACGGACACACCCTCCAATCGTAAATACGCTAAACACCAAACTTATAATAACAGCTGTAAGAGAAAAATCACTATACATAGCATGGCTCGTCTTGCGTTTGAAGCAGGTTTCCGATACCTTTTTTAAGCCATATTTTACATCCTGATTGATTGATTGATTGATTGACTGATTCAGTCGTCTGTCTGAATATGGCTATGAATATGGCTTATTGGTATGAATAAGTTGCCATGTATGTGGGTAGAGTTAGGGTGCCATGTATGTGGGTAGGGTTAGGGTTACATAGATTAAAGCTGAACCCGGATATGATTATTACTTCCCTATAGTTCTAATCAATTATGGGTTCATATGTACATAATGATGAATTCTCAATACAACTAATGAAAATTTATTGACAGTTGTTTGTTTGGTGATAATAAATCTAGAAATCTATAACTAAACACAGACACACAAACACGTACACACGCACACACACTATATACATATATGCATTTATGTAAACACGTATGTATAATATGACTGTGTGTGTGTGTAAATAAAAATATACAAAGCACTATTTTTTAGAGGCGATATCTGCCTTAAAATTTACATATTTACCAAAGTTTAACAATAACAAATCAACAACACCAATAACAAATTATTATTATTATTACTGTTATAATTACTAACAATAACGCAACTACAACTATTATGCATGTGTGTGTGTGTGTGTGTGTGTGTGTGTGATTGTTTACATAACCGACACAAGGTAAACATTTAAACATTCATTTGCATTCCCAGTACTATTACTATTATTGTTGTTGTTCATCATCATCATTACCGTAACTACAAATCATACATATATACACACAAACACGACACACACACGCACACAAACATTATTTTAAAGTTCATTCATTTCATTTTTCATTCATTTAACGTTCCTTTTCTTCTTTCAATCAATACTCATTCATTCTCCCATTTGTTCAGTCAGTCATTCAATTAGCCATTATTTATACATGTCAACATAACATGAATAATACTTTTAGAAAAATTACATAGACGAAAACACACAGACACACACACAAAGGCAAACACACATACACGCAAACATAAATATATACAAACGTACATAAACACACACACAGTAATGCTAAAAAAATTATGATCTCCAAATGAAGAAAAGCGAAATTATTATGAATAAAAAAGTAATATTACTAATACAATCCTCTCTCTGGTGCGTGTGTGCGTGCGTGCGTGTGTGTGCGTGTGTTCTTTGTCATGTGGACAGGTAAACCAAAAATTAGTAACAATGCACCAACACTAGAAGAATAGTGATACATACTTGAATAATTGAAATGAAAAAATAGTTTATATACACACACGTTGTTAAGAGAGAGGGAGAGAGAGAGAGAGAGAGAGGGAGAGAGAAAGAATACTCTGTGTGAGTCTGATCACATTACATCTGGAAGGCAGCCAAAGTAAAGAAGATGGTGTGAAATTTTCAGTTTTAATTGTCTCAGTTCTTCATGTTATTACTACCGCTATCATTATTACTATTTATATACTATTTATATTATTGTTATTTATTATTATTATTTATTTATTATTATTATTATAATTCTTTCTCTCAAGTCTGCTTCAGAGCGAATTCTCAGAGGGCATTTATCTTCTCTAAGAGATCTTCAATGAATAACTGTGGTGGGGAGAATAATAATAATAATAAATAACAATAATAATAATAATTATAACAATAATAATAGTTGTGTTCGCCTGATTCACCTGTTAGTCACATGTGTGTGCTTACATGTGTATGTGAATATGTAAAGCGTATTCATTTCATACACAATGAGTAAGTTCGTGGTTGTGTGTGTGTGTGTTTGTGTGTGAATGTGTTTCATTGATACCTGAGACACACACGCACGCACACACATACACGTTTACACACACACACACAGATGCTTACATTAACTTTGTTGTCGTTGCATTTCACACCGACGCAACTGAGTTTTTCCTGTTAATGTCAGTAAGATATCATTCAATGCTATTATATCCATTACATCACATCAGTAATAATAATTTTAACAACAATAATAAAATGCCATTATTATTATTATTATTAAAGTTATTATGCTTTTTATTCTGCAATGTTTATTTAGCGAATCCCTTGCCAATCAAAGCAGAGCATTATTTGATAGATAACAACTATGTATAAACACACACACACACACATTTATATATATATAAAGTCACAAACACACACATATATACAGTCACACACAAGCACACACACATACACACACACTCAAACATAAACCCATATAGCAGTCCACTGTTTTTATATGCATACTTCTTTAAAACGTAATTAACATCATCGTCATCACCATCAACAAAACTTACTGCCACCCCTCACCTTTACAAAGTCATATCTCTCCCTCTCGTCCTCGAGGTCGATTATCTCGTCAAGGTCAAGGTCAAGGTCACCGTCGTAACTGTCGGCTGCATTCTGCTAAATGGTGAAAATAAAGACAATGATGATGGTGATGTGGATACTGATGGCGATGTAACTGATACTGGGCAGCTTTGTGGCAGAGCGTCTGACTTCTACATTGCACTGACCGGGTTTGAATGCGAAGAAATTTCCTCTACCAACTATGTGCAGTGCACATATAATGCACTGTTTTTTCTGAAGTCATTATCCCCGCATCATCATCATCATCATCATCATCATCTACTCACAAATCATCATTATCATCACCATTATACAAGCATCATCATCATCATCATTACCCCCACATCCGCCTCCTCCCCACCATCCACTCACCGATCCACAGATCATCTTCAGCTGTTCATCCATCCAATCCTCCACAGCCAACCTCTTCCTAATCAGTCCCATCTGGTGTTTAGGATACTTGGCGGTCAGAAACCTTGTGGCCTCCTTAACGACGGGTAACTCATCTCCAGTTGGTGAAGTTGCCGGCGAAAATTCGACGTGACCTAGATTGTGCTGGTGGTGGTGATAGTTGTTGTTGTCTTCGTCGTTGTGACCTACTTTCGGACTGGTTGAAGTCACTTGGCTGCCGTCGTCGTTATTGTTGTTGAGGTCATTTTCGTTGTTAGTGTCGTGAGTCTTGTTGTTGGTGACGTCATTTTCTTTGTTGTTGAGGTTTGTTGTGGTTTTTGTTGATGACATGGTTTATACAATGACCACTGACTGACTGACAACGCATGTAATTTTGAAACAATTGAATAAAATTCAGTCGACAGCAAATAAATAAATAAATATATATAAAAAAAACAAATGAACACACATGCACAAATACACACACACAGACACACTCTCTCTACATGTGTGTGTGTGTGTGTTGTGTGTGTGTGTAGATTACATTTTAGAGATAAGAAAAGTGATAGCAGTTTTTGAGAGAAAAAATTAAAAATTAAATATTTGATGTCTTATCTTCTGCTATTGTTAGGCACTATCTACAACAAACATACATAAAAAAACCTACATACATACATACACACACACACACAAACACACACACACACAGCTTAACACTTGTTGTTCTTACCATTTTTATAATTACTTACAAATTTGCTATACAGTTATCTGAACTTATCTAGTTTTTACTTGCAACCTGGATATCATCATAATCATCATCATCATGTGTACAAACATACACACAAACATTAAAAATAGAAACAAACAGATAACCAATCAACAACATAATACACATATCCATATATATAGACAAAAACCAACACACAGACACAAACACACACACACACGCAACCATAAATCAAACACACACACACAAACAATCCCCACAAAAAACACTGTTGTTATATAATTGACAGCACCTTCACTACTATACATTATTTATAACAGCACATAAAACCCATTCATTGTTTGAATTGTGATGTTGTGTGGTTGTGCTAAACCAGTCAAAAGTAATTATAATTACTGAAAATAATTATCATCAATAACTAAAATAATAATAATAATTAATATTAATTACATTATTATTATTGTTTAGTTTAGAGAGTGGCTTGTCTTTCTTATCTATTTGATTATTCACAAAGGAGGGTCATTATGTATATAGAATTATAGATTATATATGAAAGAAGTCTATGTTTAATTATAATAAACATTTTTATAGTGAAATGGAAACCCAACAAAAATTATCACGAAACAATCATGATAATTTTTAAAATTTAAATTAAATAAAAATGAAGTTGGTAGCCGGAAATGCTTAACTAACAACACTAAAGTTCAAGATAACCCACATTAATTTTCAGAAAATATAATAAATGTTTTAAAAAATTATAACAATATAATAATAATATAATAAAAGTTTTAGAGATTAATAATAAACAAGATAAAATGTTTACCTTGTTTTTTTATTTAGGAAAAAAATGGCATTCAATCTCTAATAATAAAAATAACCTCTAATGTAGCAGGTCCCACGATTTTTAAATTTTTTTTGTAAATGACAAATTGTCAAATTCCTTTACTATTTTTAGTACTTTTTAATAAAAAACGACAAAATTATTTAAAAAATAGATTTATTTTTTATACCATATAAAAATAAAATTAACTTGATAAAAAATTAATTTAAAATTGAAATAATCGGACGAGAAATAGAATAAAAACTTTTTTTAGGCAAAAAAATGCTCCGTGCTCGACGTACGTTAGCTTTGAGACGTAGAAATAACAACTTGAATTCACTTTTAACCGTTAAATTGATGCACAGCTATATCTGTTGGACAGAATTTAAAGAATTATTAAATTTATAAATAAATACTAGTTGGATATTAGCTAAATAGGATAAAATACGTGAAAATAACTTTTTTATATATAAGGCTAGTTATAAATGTACAGTTTGAAAAAGTTTCGAAGTTTTTACAGACATATTTTTATTGTTATTCAACAAGTAAAGTTGGTTTTAGATTATTTCAATAAAACTATTGAGATTGAAAAAGTTTAGTTAATTTTAGTGTAAAATTTTATATTGACAAATATCAAAAAAGAGTTAATACTTTTATTAAAAATATAAAAATAAAAGAATGTAGATAGTGATCTAAGACTATATACATAATATACAGTTAGTAAGTTATAAAAAAGCATTTATCTCGATAATTCATTCATTCATTCATTCATTCATTCATTCATTCATTCATTCATTCCATTTATTGATTCTTCCATTCACTATTTAATAATTGTACAAATTAGTGAAACACAAACACATACTCATACACTTAAGTACCTATACGTACGTACACACGTGTAAATGTTGGAAACAAACACAAATATACAAATAAATATATAAATATTTAACATTTAACATAATAACATTATATATATATATATAAATATTTAAATTTACATAAAAAATAGGTATAAAATACCATTTTAAAAGTATTTAAAGAATATACATCAATATATACAACAAATTCTTTAGTATGAATGGAGACCACAACATCATAGGAATGATAAAACGCAGATAAATTTATCAATACATGATAAAAATGGATCTATATAAATGTGTGTCTTCTCTGAAGACATTATTAAAAAGTAGAAATAAACTGAATATTCATATAAACAAGTTTAAAAATAATTTTAAATAAACCTCTACAATCATCATCAACGTCACCCTCAACCAACATCGTAATAATCATCATCACCATCATCATCATCATCATCATCGTCATCAAACCATCATCATAATAATCATCATTATCACCATCACACCATCGTCATAATAATCATCATTATCATCATCCCACCACCATCAACACACCACCATCATCATCATTTACAAACTGATGTAACGACAATCAGTGATATGACACTGAGCAGAAGAAAGCTCGATCTATCAATGATTGAAGCTAATCTCTTGTAATCATCGTCACGACGATCGTGATGATTAGAGCTTTTAATCAAATGATTAAGCAAATGATTAAGAGTCCTCGATAGTGAGAGTAGTCTCTTAGCAACAACCGTCAGCTCTTCTCCATTTTTAATTGATACCCCGTTAATTTCGTTAAATTCAAATAAATTACCATTATTATTATTGTTATTGCTGTTATTGTTGTTATTATTATTGTTGTTGTTGTTGTTGTTGTTAGTGTAATCATAATCATCTTCGTTGTTGAAGAGCGTGTGGCGGAAACCACGTGACGACGACCACGATGACGTCATGCTGGAATCAACCGTGGCACCACAGCAGCTAATGATTCTCATGAGCTTATTGAAGAAAACCTGATAATAAAAAATAAAATAATAATAATAATTATTATTATTATTTATTTATCATTATTATTATTATTACCATCATCATCAATAACATTATCAGAACCACCCTCTTCTACACTTTTTTCACCATAACGAACGAACATATTTTGTACGTTGGAACAGGCGGTATTCGAAGCAGATCATCGCGCAATAACAAAGCGAGACATGACGTCTCTAACGACTGAGCTAACTCGCCAGTCAATGATAATAACAAAAATAATAAAACCAGAAATTTTAATTATCAAAACAGTTAATTCGGGAATAACGAAATTAAAGAACAAATGGCGAACCATTTTGACGACAGATGGCAGTTCAGTCCGATTGCTGCAGCTTCTCATGGATATGACGTGAGTGATACATGAGACGATGAAGACGACGAAGATGGTGACCAGCTCGTATACAAGAATTGACACTGTGTGAAGGAGTTAGTTTTGAAAATTAAAGTTCAACTTTAATCACTCAGTCAATTTCAAGTCAAGGCCTCATACACATTCACCAACGAGGGATCTAGGTACTAGCTAGAGATCTCTTTCTAATGGAACATCAAGAAATATTTACACTTACTTATCTTAGGCGTCCGTCTGCTGTTTGTGGGGACGACCCTCTGAACATGCAGCATCACCAACAGCAGAGTTATCAACAGGAGCGTAGCTGCGGTCAAAATGGCATAATTTTAATAACTCTTTCAAATTTTTTCAAAAACATTTCACAGGTCTCAACATCAAACACAAAATATGAATGTATAAATAAATACCAGTGAATAACACACCTTACATTTATGGGCGGTGATCTCCTTGCATTCGAACCCAGTAATAACTGCGACAATAGTGCCAGGCAGCATAACCACAACACAACAGCATTCCGTACTATACAACAACTAACCGACAACAAATCTGTATCCACTTTTATGCGCGGGCAGTAACAGCAACAAGAGGATCAGCAGACCGACAACGGCAACGGGGTAGACATAGGCGTATGTGTACACCGTCGGATTCCTCTTCAGGACTATCTCGTACTCCACCATTAGATTTTTCTCCATGTGAGAGGCCAGCTGGAGAGATGGGTTTGGCAGGTGACAACCAATTAATTATTAGTAAACAAGTAAAGAAAAGAAAAGTAGACAAAGTGGGACTATGGGGCTAACCAACCCCCAACCAGGTAAAAATTAGTTAGGGTTGAGGTTGAATGTAGCAACGAGCAGCTATTGGTTAATTTCCGCCACTGGAGTAATTTGTTGAAAAGTCTGCGTTTCTCAAAAGTGCATGAAGAAGGATGAAAATCCGAATAACCAACCAATCATCCAACCAACCATCCAACCAACCAACCAGTCAACCAACCGACAAACCAACCAACCATAAGCCTCAAATCAAGAACATTCCATCCGAGATGCTGATCCATAAACTGCAGCTGCCCATCAAAAATCTTATCCCTACTTCCTTTGCCCACCTCTTCAAACTTCATCTCCACCTTCGGAGACTGGTTGACGATCATGATCAGAAACTTTTGAGTGTCGTACGGGAAGTAGCTGTAGTCGACGCTGGTTTCGACGTGTAGACGGATTCTGTGCGGCCACGTCACGTGGCCGGTGTGGTTGATTGACAGGAGAGAATTTATTTGGGGGTCGGAAGTAGTTAGGGAAGATCCGGCGCTGGTTGTCGCGTCATTTTTATAATAAAATAGTTAAAATATATAATAAATAAATATAATAATAAATAATAATCGTAATAAAATACATAAAATACTTATTGATAGCAGCTAGCTTGGGCTTCCAAACGTTGTCAACCACCACCTCGACCACCTGAATGCTGCCATACAAATCGGGAGACCATTGAAGGTAGGAATCTTGCCACACCTTTGTGGAGGAATTATCATTATTATTAATATTATTATTATTATATTATTACTACTACTACTACTACTACTACTACTACTACTACTACTACTACTACTACTACTACTACTACTACTACTACTACTACTACTATTACTACTACTAATATTGTTGTTATTATTAACATTATTAGTTGTCTTTGAGGTATTTACACACACAAACACACTCACACACACACACACACAAGCACACACACACATACGCACGCACACACACACACAAAATAACTAATAATAACTAATAATAAAATAACCAACCAACCAACACAAACTGCAGATCAACAGTCAGTACGTGGTTCTGATCAATCTAGTTGCAGGCAAATATGGTAAATAATTTTATTGTAATGAATGAAAAAAAATCTACACACACACGCACCCACACACACACACCACACACACACACACAAACACACACATAGAAAATGAGAGAGAGAGAGAGAGAAATATGGAACTTACTAACATCAATGAATTTGATGAGCGTTGGTTCCCAGTAAACGTTTAAGGTTTCATTATGGTTCTTGGTAGGCCTCACGTTGACATTGTAGTCTTCAGCCAAACATTCTACTAATCTTCTTTCGAAAGAATGGTTGATGTTGTTGTTGCTGCTGTTGTTATTGTTGTTGTTGTTACTGTCATGTGATGATGTACATAATCCATTTGATTGAAGAACTGTAGTCACAAAATTAAAATAATAGACAGTTTAATAAGTCATTAAAAAATGGTTGTCTTGAAACATCTCTTCAAGTGATTTTAACAAGAAAATGTTTTATGATGTATGATAGTAAGAATACATGATGTGAAGTCAAAGAGCAATAGTTGGTTTAATTTGAATTTTTATCTAGTTTATAATCAATTTTATTATAATAATATAGTTTCAGATAAAAATAAATATATTGTAATGAAATTAATAAAGAATTTAAAAACAAAAATCAGTTACAATTAAGATAATGAAATAAGACTTCATTTTATAAATCAATCAATGTTATGCAAATTAGCATTAACATTAAGACTTACATAATAATTAATTAATTATTAAAGATTAAAAAACTATTCAACTTTTTAGCTAATAAAAATACACAAAACTTAAACTATTTGATATGAAATTATCAACGAGTAAATCAAATTTATTTTAATAAAACATTTAAAATAGATTCTAACCAGAAAATGATAAGAGGGTTAACCAAATCAAGAAACTTGGAACCATGATTAAGGAAGGTAAGTTGACCATTTTCATTTTTGACTGCTTTGACATCCACGTTACACCTGTATTAGATAAATTATCCAATAAGGTAATAATATTCAATTATTGTAAAATTGATATAATTTGAACTATAATTCATTAAAATATTATCGGATATAACTAAATTACTGCCTGAAACGTGTCTTTAAGATGTTTTTAAGAGCATATTTTATTGTTATAAACTTCGATTCACATTTAGTTTTTAAACACATGTTTTTGTACTTCAGTTTACTTTTCAGATTTTGTTCGCTAATTTTTAAGTTTTAAAAGCGATCATGTTGAGGTTGAATAGAAGTATTTTACCGTATTTTAGAAAAATTAGTGTAAATCAGTTAGTGTTTCAGAGATGTGTACACGTCGGAGAAAAAGCGTCACCTCTAATTTACAAAGATATTTTTGATGATCCTAATTACCAAAACAGATTTGTTAATCCTAGCATGGAATTAAAAAATGTCGAAAAATTGGACTCGCCATCTCAAATCAAAGACTTCAAAAACGATGTTCTAATACACAGACTGATACTTAATTCATCCAAAAATAAATTAGAAAATAATTCAAGTTTAGTTAGGGAATGTTTCTCAAGGCTGCCGTCACTTAACAATGTCGAGTTGTTCCTCTGTGCAGATGCCCTCTACCGAACCAACAATCATTTTGAAGGGTTCATGAAGTTATTATGCAAGATATTGCCGAACCAGTGGTTGAATTTCATCAGGACCAAAGAAGATTTAATGCTTTTAATTTACTTCTTAACAAAAACAAGATTCTCTTTAAATTCATTTTTAACTGATGAGATTGAAACGTTCACAAAATTGAACATAAATCATTTCAACTTCCGAGAAATTGGCTACATCTGCCATTTATTTTTTTCAAAAAATGTTCGAATAAGAAATTTTGAGACACTTGAAGCCCTAAAAGAGTTCTCCCTTTCAAACAGCAGCTGCCCTGATTTCAAATTTTCAGATTTGAACAACCTATTGAAGGTTTTGAGACATGCCAACCACCTGAACATTCAGTACTTTAATCAGATGGCGAACATCATCACGAACAAACTTCCTACTGAAAAGTCGACCCTTGTGCACCTATCCAACATCATCTTCACCTATGCCTCACTGAGGATCAAACATGAACACCTAAACCAGGCCATTTTGAAAGAGTTTTGTAATCGTCTAACCAACACTCCAGAAAACAAACTGAGACTGAAGGATATAAGCCGAATTGTTTGGTCTTTGTCAGTTTTCTATGAGAAACCACCTACAATTTTGTTATCGAGTCTGTTGAGTTGTTTAAGGTCAGACCCAAAATTGGCCTTCCATTATCCTGAAATTTTTGTTGAGGCTCTCGTGTCATTGGTCACTTTGGAGGTGTACCCCATCGATTTGTTGAGAATTGTTCTCTGTCATGAGTATGTTGAGTTCAAGAAAGGTGTGTTTATCTGATATTGTTTGTTTGTAGAGTTTGTGTGTTTGCGTTTGTTTGTTTGTGTATATGTGTTTGTTTATATGTGTGTGTGTGTATGTTCGTTTATGTGTGTGTGTGTGTTGTATGTTGAGTTCAAAAAAGGTGTGTGGTGTGTTATTTGACATTGTTTGGGGAGTGTTTGTGTGTTTGCGTTTGTGTGTGTTTGTGTGGGTGTTTGTGTGTGTGTGTGTGTGTGCGTGTATGTGTGTATTGTACGTTATTTTTTGCTCGTTGATTGGAATGTTTAATGTCAGAAATGGCTGCACTAAAATATCATTCCCAATTTCACCAACCACTCCTTAGTTATTTTTTCATTTGTCAGATTGTAAACTAGAGCAACAATATCAACTCTCTTTACTCAAAACTGCCACTATGATTTATCTGGAGTCTCGGAACACTACTACAGCTGTGGAAACTGTTACAGCTGCTGCTTCTACAGCTGATGCTAGAGCCACTAATAAAAGTGCCACTGCTTTTACGGTACCTACTTCTTCTACTACAGCTTCTACAACTACTACGGGTGATGATGAGGATCTCAAATCGTTTAATAAGGTTTGTTAAATAATAATTAATATAATAATAATAATTAATATTATATTCATTATAATTTAATTTTTAAAATTTAAATTTTATTACGCCACATTATATTTCTAGGCCCTTGAACAACTTGACCTCCAACAAAAGACTGGACTTTCCGGAAATTTGACCTATGAACTTTTAACCAGGTCATGATGATGATGATGATGATGATGACGACGATGACGATGGTGATGACGATGATGAGAATGATTATGACAATATTATTTGACGTTGATTTCTTTTAATTTAAAGTTTAATTTAATTCCGAAACATTCAGAAAAGGCTTGGTGGAATTTGTCCAAACCTTGAGTGACATTTTCAAAAGTTCCTCATCATTATCAACATCTTCGTCATCACCATCGTCATCGTCGTCATCACCATCATCATCACCATCATCACCATCATCATCACCATCATCACCATCGTCATCTTCGTTATCACCGTATATCAAACTGGGCTTCTTGCTTGGTTTCACTCGAATATGTGATGTACAAATCAATGTTGACATTAAGACGAGCAAGCCATTAATGAAAACGAGAGAAAAATATAATAATAATAATAATGATGATAATAATAATAATAATAATAATAACAACGATGACGATGTAGTTTTCTGTGACGTCATACAGAAAATAACGTCATCGCCATCATGGTTACCGTCATCATCATCATCGTCATATTTAACATCGGGGCCACCACCATCATCATCGTCATATTTAACATCGGGGCCACCACCATCATCGTCGTCATCATCATCATCATCACCAATGAGATCATCATCATCATCTAAATCGGCAAGTATATACAGACAGTTGCTGGACTGTAAAAGTTCTCATGGAAAATCTTCGAAAGATTTTGGTGAAAATTTGTCATCGTTATCGTCATCATCACAATCATCACCACCATCAACGTCATCATCATTATCATCATCATCGTTATCATCATCATCTCAAAGTATTTTTAGCCAGTTACTCAATGAAGTTAAAAACTTTGAGAACATCAACAACAACAACATCAACAACAACAACATCAACAACAACATCAACAACAACAACAACAACATCAACATCAACAACAACATCAACAACAACAACAACATCAACAACATCAACAACAACATCAACAACAACATCAACAACCACAACATCAACATCAGCAACAACATCAACATCAGCAACAACATCAACAACATCAACAACAACAACATCAACATCAGCAACAACAACAACATCAACAACAACATCCACAGCATTAAATATGAATGCATGTATGTGAAGCCTACCATAACGACAAACAACGCAACGATACGAAAGTAAGAATAATATCTATGTTTTTGACAATCAATTTTGTTATTGTTTATTCGTTCGTTCATTCATTCGTTCATTCATTCATTCATTCATTCATTCATTCATTCATTCATTCATTCATTCATTCATTCATTCATTCATTCATTCATTCATTCATTCATTCATTCATTTATTCATTCATTCATTCAATTATTCATTCATTCATTCATTTATTCACCCCTTAACTTATTCCTGCTTTCATTCGTTCGATTTAAATGTAAATTCAACACAAACGCACTCACACACACACACACACACATAAACAAGCAAAAACGATACACACAATCACATACACATACATACAAAAGCCTCACACACACAATCACACACACGCACATCATACAAACGAACGACAGAATAGTCATCAAGTTAATGGGCGCCAATCAATACTTGAAATCCACGAACAACAATAATAACAATAACAGCAACAACAACAATAATAATAACATTAATAATAGTAATAATAATAGTAGTAATAATAATAATAACGTGGCTACTCTGCTTGGTCAGCATAGGATGGAGATTGAGCTTCTCAGAAAATGTGGATATGAAGTTTTTGTGGTGAGTATCATCATCATCGTCATCATCATCATCTGTATCGTTATCATCATCATCATCTTATTATCTTGTTATCATTATCATAACCACCATCTTGATCGTCATCATCGTCATCATCTGTATCGTTATCATTATCATAACCACCATCTTGATCGTCATCATCGTCATCATCTGTATCGTTATCATTATCATAACCACCATCTTGATATCATTGTTATCGGCATCATTATCATTCCATGGCGTCTAGGTGAACCCTTCAGTTTGTCAGCATCTCACGGCGACGCCAGCTAAAGAGAGATATTCAGTAGTGGAGGGGATATTGAAGGAATTAAATGTTAACGTGTCTTAAACTGTGATTCTTAAAGAAAAAAAAACAGAATAAATAAAATAAAATGAACAAAATAAAATAAAATAAAATGAACATCGTCTGCCTGTATGCTAATTGTACATGTAGTAATTAGTATATATATATATCAAATCATTCAAATAAATCACTTTTATTCAATCAAGCGAAACAAAACAAAAAAAGCATGAATGAGTGACTCGGAGACCAAAAGAAGAAAATTAATTTTTGTAGGCTCGGCCACCCACAACTCAGAATAGCTTCTCAATGATACCACAACGAGAATAAATTAGAATATGAAATAAAATAAAATTGTCAATTGGAGAAAATGTACTAATAAAAGTTTATTAAAAATTCTCCAGTCTTTCGAATTCTTAGAGGCGTGTTTATTGTAGGCAGAGTGTATGGGACAAACAACACACACACACACACACACACAGTGATAATATAATAACCACAAACACACACTCACAGTGATAATAACCACACACGCGCATGCACGCACACACATTGTGAGAATAATCACACATATTTTTTGACCTAAATTTTTAACAGACCATCCCGTTACTTAAATGTTTATAACGTGTTAATTTGGCGTGTCGCTAGAACAGAGCACTATTACATCCCAAAATTGATACTCTTTAATTGTAACTTGTATTGTATTCTTGTAATTTTAACTTATATACTTGTAATTGTAACTTGTATTGTATTGTTGTAATTGTAATTTTTATTGTGTTCTTGTAATTCTATTGTAATGTTGTAATTGTAGCTTCTATTGTATTCTTGTAATTGTAACTTGTTTTCTTGTAATTTAACTTGTAAATTGTATTAGTTTCAAGTAATTTTACTAACTATATTATCATCAGTTGGAATATTAGTGATTTTGATTAGAACGTTGATAACATTGTTAATAATAATAGTATTATAAATTCATTTTCAATCAATCTATCATTCAATCAATCATTAAATCAATCATTCAATTAATCATTCAATCAATCAATCGAATAGTTTGTATAACGCTATTTCTGTGGTGTTTAAAAGAGCTCTTTGGTGAATTTAAAATATTAACAATAATAATACTAACGATAATAATAAGGTGATGGATGGAAAGAGCGGGCAAAATATCCGTTTCGTTTTATTCGTTTCTTTAGTTATGTTTCTCGAAACAGGTTGGTGGATCATTTATTTTGTCATTCTTTCGTTCGTTTGTCCATTCATTGGTTCATTCATTAGTTCATTCATTCATTCATTCATTTTTATGAAAACATTGCAAAATTTTTAAGTTCTCTGCCAGCGTTGCACCGAAAAGAATGCGGAATACGCTCCAGAGGCCATAGAAGAATTGTACAAATACCTCTTCGCTAATTATGGTATCTATACTAGGTTGGTTTATTTTAGGTCTATGGATGGATGAATGAATGGGTGGATGGATGAGTGTATGGATGTATGAATGATTAGATGGATGGATGAATGAATGAATGACAGGCTGATAAGATTATGATTAACGCATAAATAAACACTTATAATAGTTTGTAAAAAAAAGACAGTTGCAATAAACATAATAGACCACAAATATAAAAATTATTAAAATAATAATAATAGTTATGTAATAATAATAATAATAACAATATCAATGATAATAATAAAAATGAACTATAATTAATAATAATGATAAATAATTTCTTAAAATGTTTTCAAGATCGGTCTTGAATGGAGACGATTCGGTGAACGTTGAAGTCAAATTCCAGCATGTGATCGTCTCTGAGACTGTTTGTCATTCTTTTTCTTCTTCTCCTTCTTCTTCCTCTTCTCTTTCGTCTTCTTCTTCTTCTTCTTCTTCTTCTCCTTCTTCTTCCTATTATTATTGTAATTAATTACTATTTTAATTATGCCTATTCTTCTTATGATTATAACTATAATTAATTATTATTTTTATTCTTCACATCATCATTATTCAGTTTTCGGAAGTTAAGGACGTTTTAGCCCAGGTTAACATCGTCCAAGTAAGTTTTAATAATAACAATATAATAATAATTATGAAAATAATAAATAATTATAATAAATTAATAAATAATTGTGACGATAATAATTTATTTTTTTGCCATTTCGTCCAAGTTAATTTTAATAATAATAATGATGAAGATAATAAATAATTATAATAAATAAAGAAATAATTATAACAACAATAATTATTTTTTCGTCCAAGTTAGTTTTAATAATAATGATAATAATGATGAAGATAATAAATAATTATAATAAATAAATAATAATATAATAATAATGATAAAAATAATAAATAATTATAATAAATAAATAAATAATTATAATATTGATAATTTATTTTTTCGCCACTTAAGAGGTGGACCGACCCGCAACTGACATGGGACCCTACTAAGTTTGACGGAATAAATACAATCGACTTGCCAATGAGAAAGATTTGGACACCGGAGCTGATCAATTATAATTTGTTATAATAATAATAATTATAATTTGTTATAATAATTATAATATAATTATTATTTGATTAGATGGTTGGTTGGTTGGTTGGATGGTTGGTCGGTCGGTTGGTTGGTTGGTTGGTTGGTTGGTTGGTTGGTCGGTTGGTCGGTTGGTTGGTTGGATGGTTGACTGGTTGGTTGGTTGACTGGTTGGTTGGTTGACTGGTTGACTGGTTGGTTGGTTGATCACCGTTACTATATCAACGATCAAATCCTTACTTATGATAATCTCCCAGTAACGATGAGGAATTGCGGAGCCTAAAGGTCAAGGTGACAAATGATGGGCGGGTTACTTGGACCCCGCAGCTTGCCATGTTGCTCTTCTGTTACTCCAATTATTGGTTGGAAACATCAGCATGGTTGCTTCGCTACCATCATCACAATCACCACCACCATCATCGTCATCATCACAATCACTCCCTCACCACCACCATCATCATCATCACCCTCACCACAATCACCTCCCCACCACCACCACCCATCGCCATCAGGTCTTTCCCGTACGACAGACAGTACTGTTGGATATACTTCTCGAACATCTTCCAGAATGTAAACTTCACCGTCGTTGGGGCCAACGAGCCACTCGGCTCCGAGCGCTGCGTCTCTACACATGATCAGTGGCAAGTCATCAGATGCACCTCGTTCTCAGAAGTTTTTATACTCTGTGTCATCTTCATCATCACCATCATCATTCTCATCATCATCTTTTATACTCTGTGTCATCTTCATTGTCGTCGTCGTCATCATTATAAACATCTTCCTCATTGCTATACATCATCTTCATCATCGTCGTCGTCATCATCATTTTCATCATCTTCATCATCATCAAATTTTTGAAGGTCGATGTTTATATTTGCGTCTTCGTCCGCCAAACGTTTTGTTTATGTTTTGGGGTAAATGTTTGCATATGTTTATCGTCATCGTCGTCGTCATCATCATCACTTACGATAGTAGTAATGATGACGATGATGATTGTGATGTTGATGATGACGATGGTTGTGATGATGATGGTGATGATGAGTTAGTCGATTGAAAAATTTTCGTTTGGGTAAAAAAAATTCAAAGGTGAGAAATAATTCGATCACGGGGTTCAGGTTGATATCTCTGATCATTTCTATGCAAAGAAGGTCATTCATTCATTTTTTATATCTTTTACTCATTCACTTTCTCACTCACTCACTCATTCACTCACTCTCTCACTCACTAACTCACTCTCCTCTTCACCCATTCACTCAAAATTACCTTAATTGACCACAGTTTGATTTTCATAAAACAAATTACTAGTCTGGCATATCTTTGTAATCGAACTCAGTAACCGCGCCAGTAGTAACAGCCTCTTTAACCACTAAACTATCAACTCCATACCACTATAGATCTATTTACTACGTATTCCTCCTGATAGTCCCAGCCATCATCGTCGTCTTCCTCTTACTCGTCATCTTCTTGATCCCGCACTGCAGCAATCAGAGGTTCTCTTACGGTTAGAAGCTGATTTAACTATCTTACAATAACCTTAAACTAACTATCTTGCCCTTATATTCGTAATAAACTAATTAATATCACATTTAATTGATTGATTAATTAACCAATCAATTAATGAGTAAATTATTAATTGATTGATAAATTAATTAATCAATTAATGAGTCAACTATTAAACCAAAAATCCGATTATTTCGAAATATTATACTAAATTAATAATACTAATAAATTTAATTAATTGATTAAGTGGGTGGGATGTTATTTGTGCTGCTGCTGCTGAATTACGTGGAGCAAGAGTTCATTCCAACGGGTTTCGGCGATACTCCAAGAATCGGTCAGTAAGTCTGGTAAAGGGCTTGCCTTCTACGTTGCAGGAACCGGCTTCGAACGCAAGGAAATCCTAGCCTATCATACGCCTATATCAGATGAAATGTTTTGTATAAGTTTTGTGGCTTGTTATGGCATATGGTTGCTATAAATTACCATTATAATTACTAATTAAAAATTAATATAACTGCGACTACTTCTACGGCTACTACTACTACTGCTGCCGCTGCTGCTACTACCACTGCTGCTGCTACTACTACTTCTACGGCTACTACTACTACTGCTGCCGCTGCTGCTACTACCACTGCTGCTACTACTACTACTACTACTACTACTACTTCTACGGCTACTACTACTACTACTGCCGCTGCTGATACTACTACTACTACTACTACTACTTCTACGGCTACTACTACTATTACTGCCGCTGCTGCTACTACCACTGCTGCCACTACTACTACTACTACTACTACTACTACTACTACTACTACTACTACTGCCACAGTTTCATATACGTTGTACGCTCTCATCCTCCTGTCAGCCATCACCATCCTCTCTCTCGTCACTCACTATCTCTACTTCATAGATCCAGGAGTGACTGCCGTGCCAGCGGCTGTTCAAAAAGTTGAGTGTGTGGTGTTGATGTGATGAGATGAGAACTTTTGGGGCTTTTCCAGTTTCGATTTCAACTTTTTCCGGGATTAATTTTTCATGTCTTTGTTGGGATGAAACATGAAAAGTTTTTTAATTTTGTTATTTACATAGCGGTAGTAGATATTTCTAAAGGAATGTCAACATTGATTAAAACGAAATTTCATCTAGATATTTCTCAATGGTATCGTCAAATGCATAATGGGATTGAAACCAAACGTCTATTTTTCCTTGGACTCCATCAATGCTTCGTCTGTCTATGATAAAAACTACAAGAATAGCCAGAAGAATAACCAAAATGAGGAGAGTTTTCTTGATTGGCTGATCGCTGAAGAAAATGAAAGTGAAAGTGAGGTGAGTAGAAAATTTCTCGAGGAAATCCACAAAAATCTAGACGTCATCACTTTCGGCGAAAAATCTCGTGTCCTGGATAATGAATGGAAGCAGTTATCTACAATCTTTGATCGTCTGTTGTTCTTCCTGTTCTTCGTGGACACAGTTTTGGTGACGTCATTTTTTTTCGGTCAAAATTTGCAGGACAAGGTGGAGAGGGATCAGACTGATGAGAAGATTGCGGCTGAATATTTTCATCAATTTATATCATAAATAAATCGACTTTTGACCAAAAATTATTTCGAATTTTTATCCAATTAATAATAAACTCGTTGAGTTGATGGGAGAAAGAAAAATGAATGAATGACAAGAATGAAGGAATGACAGAACAGACTAATTTTAATGACGCTAATTCAATTATTGTGTGTGTGTGTGTGAGAGAGAGAGAGAGAAAGAGAGAGAGAGAAAGAAGGTATTGATTTATAGATTTATATAATCCTTTTTTATGTTCAAAACAATGACACATAACATCCAATTAAACGAATTTTAATTAGTTTTTCGTATTAATTTTTAATTCTTTTTTCATATAAATATATATTTCTGTAATTTACAAAAGAATAATTTGAATAAAATGTATCTATTCTTGAAAAAATAATAGTTTAGTAGTTTGTTTGCTCGTTCGTTCGTTCGTTCGTTTGTTTGCAAGAAACCAAGTCAACGTTTGTTTAACCAATTCACTGAATCTTCCAAATAAAATTTTTTTCAAACATTTATTGGGTATAATAATTATTGTTGAGCATTGAAAAACATCTCCTAACAAAGCATAAAGAGGACTCGAAATTGTTAACAAATAAAAACTTTTATCCCTACATCAAACGATTTAAATTTTGCAATAAACATTTCATCTGCCCTTTGTAGAACTTACTGTCTTGTAGAGCTTACTGTCTTGTGTATGAATAATTAATGTTCTAACAAATCATTTAACCTCACATCATTCATTACAGCATTGGTAACCTAACGATGTTTAGGAACGTCTGGTGCTAATTGTTGGAACGTTAATCGAAATTATAATATTAATAGTTAATTTTGTAGAATTGTTAACTTAGGACTGTAAATTATTTCACAAAAATTTTTCCTAAAACTAAAAGATGGTTTGTTAATTGAGATAACTTTTCAACAAGCAATCAAAGCAGGCATCAACAGATTACTCAACCAACCATGGGGACAATTAACCTTACACAACTCGGAAGCCAATTTTTTCTGGATGCTGTTTGCTTCCAGCGACTGCTTTCATATTTTAATACTCTGCCCCTCTTCTTTCTCTCTCCCCTTTTTTTTCTCTCTCTCTCCTTCTTTCTCTCTCTCTCTCTCTCTCTTGTCTCTTTTTTATTTATTCATTATTTCCCTCCTTTCTTTTCTTCTTCGCATTTTTCAAGGCACCTGATAGAAGACAGGTTGATCGGTTATGTTTATATTTACATTAGAATGACGCGTAGATGTGTGTGTGCGTGTATATGTACGTGAGTGTGTCTGTCTGTGTGTACGTGTGTGTGTGTATATGTATGCGTCTGTGTGTGTATGTGTGTGTGTATATGTATGCGTGTGTGTGTGTATGTGTATGTGTGTGTGGTGTGTGTGTGTGTGTGTATGTGTGCATATACGTGCGTCTTGCTTCTTAAATAATCCGTCGACAAATTCATAGGCGTATCTTAATTTTTTTAAATTTCATACAAAACAAAAACAAAAAGTAACTAAACCAAACGATATTATTATTATTATTGTAATTGTTGTTGTTATTATTATTATTATTTTAGTTGTAGTAGTAGTTGTTGTTGGGTTTCGTTAGCCGAGGCTCAACTTAATATTGAAGTATATTTTTATATGAGGTTCTAGGCAACAGCATTTAAAATCATTTTGTTGAAAAAATTAATGAAAGAAAATTTATTTTAAATTAAGAATTTATTTTAAATTAAAAAAAATAAAATCTAAAAATATTACGAATAGATAGATTGAAAACAGAATGAATAATTGATTAACTAATTTGTTTTCCAATTGTTGGCTTTGGGTGAAATAATTTTGAGAGGTAAGTGAAATGGAAAATTCTCGGTGGATGATGTCCCTACGGAACCACCGCTTATTTGTGGCTTTTATCGCCGGGATGATGTTTCTGGTTTTCCAAGGTTTGTAATGTTGTGAATGATTTCTGTATCGTCATTAACATACCAGCCAACCAACTAACCGACCAACCAATCAACCGTTTATCAATCAAGTAACCAGTTGATCTGCTTAGCAATCAATCATCTACTCAACCAATCATCAAACTAACTATCAAATCAGAGCTATAATTTACAACCAACAACAACACTTAACCGACCAACCACAAACCAAAAAACCAACAAATCAACCAACCAACTAACCATTCTTTAAACCAACCAACCAACCAAACCAACCAACCAACCAATCAACCAGCCAACCAACCAACCAACCAACCAACCAACCAACCAAACCAACCAACCAACCAACCAACCAACCATCAAACGCTACAACCAAAATCACGCTCCCACCAGCGACACCAACGCACGGGCTATGCGGTAAGAACGCCAGAGAAAAAAGCTACGAATGTGACTTGCTGAGCTGCTTGAATTTCAGTAAGAAGAACCTAATCCACCCACCCCTGGTCTACGACTCCTCGAAAGCTCTCCAGCCTGTAAATATCACCGTCAGATGGGTATCAGCTTTGATACACGAAATCGTTAGTCGAAGTGGTTGATGTTGTTGTTGTCTCATGGTGGAAATGATGGTGGTGGTGATGATGGGGAGAATGGTGATGGTGATGGGGAGAAGGGTGGTGGTGATGGTGGTGGGGATGAGAATGATGGTGATGATGGTTGTGATAATGATCGTGATTGATGACGGGGATGATGATGACGATGAAGATGATGGTGAAGATGATGATGATGATGATGATAACGGTGGTGATGATGATGACGGTGGTGGTGATGACAATAATGATGATGATGATGACGATGATGTTAATAATGATGATAGTGATGATTTTTAAAAAATTTTAAACTTCAGAATGACCGAGAGAATAGTTTTTCAGGATATCTTTTTGTAGTCCTGGTGAGTTTTTACAATGATGATGATGGTGATGACGACGACGATGATGATGATGACGACGACAATGACGTCATCAAAAAAAATGAATGTATCCAGTATTGGTTTGATGAGAGCCTTCAGTGGGAGCCAAAGTGGTTCAATGGGATCGAAAAAATCCTCGTTCCACCGGAAGACATCTGGAAGCCGGAACCTGTCCTTTATTATCGGTTGGTGACGTAATCATTTTCATCATCACCACCACGGCCATCACCATCGTCATCATCATCAGGAGTGAGCAAGCTGATAGAAAGGGCAAAAGAAGAAATTTCAGGCTGACCGAAAGCAGCGTACAGTTGAGGAAAAACGGACGAATACACTGGAATCTGAGACTGCAATTTACAAGTGACGATGATGATGATGGTGATGATGTTGATGATGATGTTGATGATGATGATGGTGAAGATGGTGATGGTGATGATGGCAGGCCACTGCAAGATTGACTTTACAAATTTTCCGGCCGATACTCAAAGATGTTTCATCAGCATCTACTTCCTTCCGGCAGATGAAAGCCAGGTGATGATGATGGTGGTGGTGATGATGACGCCGATGACGATAACATGGATGATGATTACGAAGCTCTAAACGATGATAATATTCGAATAACCAACATCGTCATCATCACCATCATCATCATAATCATCTTTTTCCTCATCATCATCATCATCATCACCATCATCATAATCAGATGAAGATAATGGTTATGAACAACTCATACAACCATTTCTCATTTAGCCCAAAATGGGTAGCTACGAATAAGGCTGCTTGCGTAAGGGATGGTGTTGGTGGTGATGATGATGATGATGGTGGTGGTGATGATGATCGTGGTGGTGGTGGTGGTGATGATGATGTCAATTGTAACATAAATGATGACGATGGTGACGACGATGATGAAGATTACCATTAAGGTCGTCATCATCACCGTTAACAGAATGTCGTTGGTATGAAAGGCCGAAAAAATACAAGGTATAAACACACCAACGTAAACACACATACATACACACATACGTACGTACATACACACATACATACAAACAAACAACCATACAAACACATAAACACACACAAAAACAAACACACAAACACACACGACATACAGAATTAGGTTAACAATAGATTTACAAAGGCGGAATAGATTTTACAGGAAAACTCTTGTCATCCCTCTCATCTTAATCGCCATCCTGTGTCTGCTGATGTTCTGGGTGCCTATTGCGAATAACCAGAGATTCGTTTATGGTCGGTCGGTTGGTTGGTTGGTTGGTTGGATGGTTGGTTGACTGGTTGGTTGGATGGTTGGTTGACTGGTTGGTTGGTTGACTGGTTGGATGTTTGGTTGACTGGTTGGTTGGTTGGTTGACTGGTTGGTTGACTGGTTGGTTGGTTGATTGACTGGTTGGTTGTTTGGTTTTTTGTTTTGTCGGTTGATTGATTGTATGGCTCTTAAAAATAATCACCATCATCATCAACAACACCACCACCATCATCATCATCATCATGGTCATCATCACCGTAGGATTCTCTCTCCTAGTCTGCATGGTTATTCTCTTCCTCACTCTCCAGTACAATCTTCCAGCTGGGATCGGAAAGCTTCCAATATTTGGTTCGTCTGTCTGTCTGTCTGTTTGTCTGGCTGTATGTCTGTCTGGCTGACTCTCTGTCTGGCTAACTCTCTGGTTGACTGTCTAGTTGTCTGTCTGTTTGTAAATATTATCTTTATCATTATCATTGACATTATTATTATTGTTATTGTTGTTGTTATTATTATTATCATGATTTTTTCATGCCAGTGAGATGCTTGCTGTTTGAGATGATCCTACACTCACTTTTCATCATCATCTCCATCCTCACGCACCTCACTTTCCATCACGATCCTCGAAATATCCTGCCAAACGTTGTTAAAAGGGTAATTTTTTTGATATTTTTGTGCATAACGCTACAAACTATTTGCAGTTTTTCTGGATTTTTTTGATGTTTCAACAACAATAACAACATCAACAATTACAGCAGTAAAAACAACATCACCAACAACTACTACTACAGCAACAACAACAACCACAATAACAACAACTACAGCAGCACCAACAACAACAACATCAGCATCAACAACATCAACTACAACCACAACTACAGCACTACAACAACAGCAGCAACAACAACAACTACACCAACAGCAACAACATCAACAACATCAACAACTACATAAACAACATAAACAACAACAACATCAACAACAACAACATCAACAACAAATGCCTTAATGAACGCGACACACACATTGTTGCCAGACGCTTTACTCGATGGACATTCAACTATAAAGTTTATTTTATTATGGATCTAATTATTATTCAAAATTAAATTATAATTATTAAAATATTTCTTTAAATGTTAACAAATCGTGTCCACCAGTTTCTTCTGGATCGTAACGTTAAGAAAATAACATTTGTGATGGCCTGTTGTAAGCAACAACAACAACAACAGCAACAGCAACAACTAAATAAAGTATCAAAGGACGCAGACACAGATATAGAGACATCAACAACACCACCAACATCATCAACAACAACAACAACACCACCAACAACAACATTAGCAACAACAACAACAACCCAGAAACCCTTCAAATCTCGATCAAACAACGCCCTATTCTCTCTCTACAACTACTTCTCAGAAATGCGGGAGAGTAGATTCGAACCCGAGACGAGCCAGCTACTGAACAACGAGTGGAAACAAGTGGCTGTGGTCAGCGAGAGGCTCCTGTTCTACTGTGCTGTCGCCGCCTTCTTCATCGTCTCGGTGGTCGTCCCCATCGAAGTCTTCGAACATCAGCTTGATCTGGCGGGAGATTACTGAGAAAAAGAAAAGAGAGAGAGAAAGAGAGAGAGAGAGAGAAAAAGAGTGAGAAAGAGAGAGAGTGAAAGAGTGAAATAAGAGAGTGTTTAGAGAGAAATGAAAGGAAGGAAATTTAAAAGTAAAAAAATTGTATTTGATTTGAAGTAAGAAGGTTGAAAAACATAAAAAATACACTGGATTGAAAGAAGAAGAAAGGTATAGAGGAATACAGAAAGTTAGATAGAAAGAAAGAGAAAGTGGGAGAGAGATAAAGAGAGAGAGTGAGAGATTGAAAGAGAGATAGAGACTTTTTTCAAAGTGGTTTTAATGTCTTACATAGAAACGTCAGAAGATCGTGGAATGAAAAAGATTTCATTTTGACTTTGTATGTAGTGCATAAACATAACCTTTCATCACATTTATTCTACGTATATAATTAACAGAATTATGTTGTATTTGTTGAGATTAAAGACCATTTTTATTCAAAATTAAAACATTTTATTCAATTTCTCTTGAATAACTATTTAAATTTACTAAAAATTGAATTAAATTTCTAGCTTACAGCATAGAAAACACGATGAGTTGTATATACCTGTGTGTGTTGTGTTCAATAATTAGGAAGGATCCTGTGATAATGAAGAAATTTAAAACACGCTACTAAACTAATACAAAACCAATGCAACAATTAAGCGTGATACAATTGATATATTTTTTTTCTCAATTGTATCTTATTTTTCCGAGATATCAACATAGTACATGAAGATACGTATATCATAGACTTAATTTATCTCTATCTGTAATCGAACTCGGATACTACAACAGCAAAGCCAGACGCCTTAACCATTTAGCCATTTCGATTCACCCTCTATTTTTAGTATACACAAGGAAATTATCAACGCAAATATCTTATCGTTTGTAGATTTCTTGCTGATTTAAACAAGGCGCTATATAAATCACTTATTATTATTGTTATTATTATTATTATAACTATAATTATTATTATTGTTATTATTATTAAGAAGAGATTTTATCTTTATTTATAGAAGATGAGTCCAATGCAAGCAAAATCGGCATTTTTCAATGTCAATTTAATCGAAATACTTAAAAATAACTCAATAATAATAATAATAATAATAATTAAATGGTAATCATAATAATAACAATAATAATTATAGTTTTAGTTATAATTATTATGTATTTATTTTCGTTTATATTAAAGTTGAAAAACCTTAGCAATCATCAGAAGCAACCTAAGAGGGCGGTTTATTAATAATTAGCACCGACCATTTTACGACGAACTTCATCACAATCAAAATACGGGCTTACTTTTATCATCATTATCATCATCCTCTTTATCACGTCATCATCATCATCACCTTTATCACATCATCATCATCACCTTTATCATATCATATCATCATCATCTTTATCACATCACAACACCTTTATTATATCATCATCATCATCATCATCACCTTTATCACATCACCACACCTTTATTATATCATCATCATCACCTTTATCACATCATCATCATCGTCGTCTTAACTACCCCCAGTCACTATCGTCATCACCATATCATAATCAATACCATTACTTCCATCTATCTTTGTAAGGTAATAGAGCTCTCTTCTATCATAACCACCGTAATCATTACCGTAATCATTTCAATCATCACCATCATCATCATGATCATCATCATCACAATCATCACCACAATCATTACCACCACCATGCCGTATTGATGCCCGGTACGAAGCTGCTGACGGGCAGAATGGCCAGCAGCCCTACAAACATGGTGGCTGATAGAAGGATGGAGAATAATCTTTCAAAAGCGTAAGCCAGTTGGCGCCAATCGTTCCTGACGATCTGCGCGTGCGTGGCGGGAATTTCAGCAGGGTTGAGCGAGTAGGCTAGGAATTTATTGAAACTATCCATAGTCTTCAGGAATGGGTCTGTAGGCTTGTTGGCCCCGTTTGGCTGGTCACGTGACACCGTTATTTTCATGTCGACAGGTGGTAGGGTGGCACTGGTTAGGAGGCGAACGACCGGGTTGAAAAAAATCTGAGGGGGGGGTTGGTTTGGTGTCGGTGTTGATAGTAATGATGATGATGACGACGATGATGAGGATGGTGATAATTATAGATAAAAATTATTGTAATTATTATCATCATCAACGGCCAACCATCTTGAGGCACTGAGGGACTTGGCTGGTGTAGTCGTTGTAGTACATGTTGTAAGTAATGATGGCGATGATGAAGGTGATCAAGACCAGCACCATCTCGAACAACAAGAGATGCACTGATAAGAATGATGATGATGATGATGATGAAAATGATGATGATGGTGAAGATGATGGTGAAGATGATGAAGATGATGGTGAAGATGATGATGATGAAGATGATGGTGATGAAGAAGAAGAAGATGAAGGTGATGATGATGATGATAGTTATGATGGCAAACTGAATGATTGAGCAAACAGACTAAAGAATGAAACAAAAATTACAGGCAAACCATTGAACTAACAATAAAAAGTTATCTTCATGATAGAAAAAGAAGAAGACGTAATCGAATAAAATCATACCCACACTGAACCGAACATGCAAACAAACACAAACACAGACAAACGAACGAACGAACAAACAAACATACAAACAAACAAACATACAAATGATGGGCACTTGCTCGCATCCCTTTGGAAGTAGTTGTTGAATCGTTGCGTATACGGTAAGGATTGACATGATGATGATCGTTGCTGTGGTGATGATGATGAGGAGGAGGACGATAATGATGATGATAAAGAAGATGATGATGATGATTGTTGCTGTGGTGATGATGACGATGATGAGAATGATGATGATTATGATTGCTATAAAGATGACAAAGATAATGATATGGATAATGAAAACAGCGGACGATAAATTATGATCTTGAGTTTCCAAAGACTAATAATAAGGATCATAATGATATTGTATTATTTATATAGCGCTTTAGACTCTGCGTAAACTTATTTAGCGTACACATACATGCAAAAACATTGGCTCTCTGAGCATTTGAACCAACCACCGAGAAGACAACGAGCATTTAATTTTCCAACCAGCCACTCAACTAATTACACATTCGACTAATCAACCAATTAGAAAAAAAACAATCAGACAAGGAATTAGTCATCTAGCCAGACAACGAATCAATCATCTATCCAGACAACCAGACAGACGACCAACCAGACAATTAGTCAAACAACCATCTAACCTAACCATCGATCCAGACAACCAGACAGACAACCAACCAGACAGTTAGTCAGACAACCAGACAACCATCTAACCCAAGTTAAATCTCTGATTAGTCTGCATGGGCACCCAGAGAACGAACAGTAGAAACAAGAGGATGATGACAGATGGCGTTATTACCAGGTAGTTATAAAAGGTTGGTACTCTCCTCAGTGTCAGGTACACGTATTGATACGGGCTATGGAGTTTGAACTTCTGTTTTAATGTTTGGTTTTGTCTGGTCGTGTGAATGCGTTTGTTTGTACGTGTGTGTGTGTGTGTTTGTTTGTTTATACGAATGTGTGTGTGTGTTGCATGTGTGTTGCATGTGTGTTTGTTTTTACCCATTTCATGTAGAAAATCGACTAAACCTAACTCCAAATTCGGTTACTTTCCTGACCTCTTGACCTCCCAGTCAAATTTTAAAATTTAAACATTTTCAAAATTTCGATCTACACTCCTGTCAGAGTTGTCTAGATCCGAGCCTGAGTGTTGCTAGTGCATCTAGTGTAGACGAGTGTGCACATTTTCCAATATCTTGTAACCGCGCTCTCACAATCATCATCTTCTTCA